GATCTTGATGATAGAGGCATATGGCATGTGGCATGCGATTTTCCTCAATGTCAGATGATGAAGACCCCTCACAAACCACTGGCAAAGTCAAGACCCCTCACAAACAATTTGTCACTGTCCTCATTGGCCCCCAGCTACAGGCGCTATATTGAGATCCACAGAGTGCCCACAAGATGCATTATTGCACTAATGAAATCTTTGCAGAGCGCAAACACAAGAACAGACACCAACAATCCTGGAATGATTTTATTGATGGTAGTGACTATATTCAGGCTGTTGCAGAAGGCAAGATCAAGGACAAGGATGGTGCGCAACTTTACAAATCCAAGGCCTCTGACTGTTGGATATTGATATGGGTTGTATTTGATCAGGACTCACTGTATGGGATGTGATGTGCAACATGACTTTCATCTCCCATCCTTTGCTAGCACTAGGAACTGCTGACAGCCCTGGACTTGCGCCCATCCAGATGTCGGACATCATGCACCTTATTTCCCTCAACATTCCTGACCTCTTGATCCCTCTGTGGTGGGCAGTTCTTACCAGAAATGTCTGGAAAGATTTTGGAAAGGCCATCCATGGGAATTCACCCTCCTCTTATATGGGATAGGCCCCTTGGTACTTTACAATGTCCTCCCACTTCCCTACTGGCAACACTTCTGTAAACTTGACCATGCAGTTCGCATAATTTCACAGCACAACATCACATGTGAGGAGCTTCAAGTTGCTGCTAGATTATTAGTGGAATTCATCAAGGAATTCTACCACCAGCGCAGGCTTAAATGGATTCACTTCATACAGCAGAGCATTCACGCTCTCAGACACTATGCTAATGAAGTTGCAAAAAAGGGTCCTTCACAGTGGACCATGGAGTGCATGATCGGGAACCTCATTAGCAAGATTCATCAGCCATCAAACCCATATGCTAATCTCGCACAGCATGCCATTCATCATGCTCAACACAACACTTTGATGATTATGATTCCAACTCTCAATCCCAACTACAACAAACTATTGTATTGAAGATGGTAGAAAGAGCTGCTACCAACTGCCTTCGAGGGCAGGAGCTCGCACATCAAATCATAGGGTGGCCAGCCTCTATTTTTAAAAGGCTTTGCAGCCAGGATACTCTAGATTATACCAGTGTGAGTGCAGGGGACAAGAGTAGAGACAATATTTACCTTGATAACATCAGCCCAAAGTCCTGCTGATTTGGCTGTAACATTGGCGCCACAGTCTGGGCTCCATGCTACACCTGAATAATGCATGACTCTATCAACAACATGAAATGTGGAGCAGAGCTGGAGGCTTATCAGTACTAAACATGAAGGAAGTGTGTGTAGCCTCTGGTCCAGTTCTTCTTCATCCATAAGTTCCTGACACCACTCTACCATATGTTTAAACACGCCTTGGTAGAGCTGGTGTAGGACATCAGACGTAATTGCCAGATGAATATCACAGTGAGGAAATTCAAGCCAAAAAGGCTCAAAGACACCTCCAGCAACATCATGTAACATACACTGTTTTCTGAATGCTGCATTGGTGGTAGTGCTGATATTGGTGTCATCAATGATGGAGGTGGTCTGTTAAGGCATTTATAAAGCATTGGCACCTCAGTTGAAATATGTCTGCTGGACACCATATTAGAAATTAGTGAAACCATATTCAAACAAGAGGACAGGGAATTTGTCTAGGGGGAGCATCTAGGTCAGGTCTGTTTGTGATCAAAATAGAAATTGCATTGAATCATGTAAAGTAGCTCTGAACATTGTGAATACAACATGACCAAGTTTCAGTATGCATAGAGATACCATGAAGAAATAGAAGGCTATCCATAATGATAATGTAAGCATGTGTGTTCAAAGTGAATCAGATAAATTCAAGACATCCAGTCTGAGTAAAGTGGTTTAAGGGTGACCTGTGCTGTCATCACCTTCATGCGATCTGCTGTCCTCCCTCCTGTGGGTTTGTTGGCCTGTGATGAGGTGCCTGGCATAACCCTGCATTCTTGCACTAGGGAACAGGGCATGCATGCAAAGAGATTGAGTTCTGGATCTTGACACTCCTTATGATACAGTGTCATATCCCACAATCCGGACCCACATTCCATCATATTCCCACGCCTTCCAAGCCTACATCCAGACCCCACTTCATATCCAGCTCATTCCCAGATCCCCTTCCGCTGTGCTCCACACCTCAGCAAGATCGACTACACTCCGGATTTACCCCTGAGCTCCAGACCTCCGGATCCTCACTGCTAGCCTGATCTATACAACCCTATCCTGTCCACCCTATGCACACTTCATCCAGCAAGACATCCAGACTTCACCTTGTCTTGGATTCCAGACTATATCCACCTTCTTGTATTCCGGTCCTGTATCCACCTTGTCTTCCGGATCCCCAGATCTCCGGACCTCTGGATATTAGCTCCGGACCTATTCCCACCCTCTGTCCGATATCCTGCACCTATCCCCATTTAGGCATTCTCTGCTTTCTGGCTTTCAGTTACCTCTTCTTCCGTCTTGCTTATTGATCCTTGTATGAGTCTTCATCTCTGAGTTCATTTACTTATGTTCCATCTTACTTACTAATGTGTTTCCACATGCTCGTACATAGCCCTGCTCCTTTGCTTACTGATCCCCTCAGATATTGTTCAGTATATAACCCCTGTAGATACTCCTGTAGTTCCCTAGTTTGAATATCAACTTAGACTTGCCCAATCCTCTCTTGGACTTTGGTCCACCTAAGTCTGTCCTACCCATCAGGCCTAGGGATTGATTCCCTAGGCCAGAGCTCCGCCTTTCCAGCACTTTCCCTCTTTCTGGACCTTGGTCCACTTCCTGTCTCTCTGACTCTACCTTCGGGTAGTCTACCTCTGTTTGCTTCTACATTGGACTTTGTCCGATGTAGCCCCTATTCCTTCCAGACCTCCTGTCTCTTGTACCTCCGGGCATCCTGTCCTTTGGACATTCCGCCCTCCATACCTTTGGACGTTCCATCCTCCTAACCCTCGGACATCCTGTCCTCCTGTCCTTCAGACATCCTGCCCTCTGTACCTTCGGAGATCCTGTCCTTCTGTCCTCCATCATCCTGCCCTCCTGTCCTCCTGTCCTCCAGACCCTCGGACCTCCTATCCTTCCATCCTGTTTCCTGTAGAAGTATTACCTTGCAGTGGGAACTCTTCTGAGCACTTCCTGCATTCCTCCGGAACTCTCCCGGGCTCCTCTGGAAGTCCTCTAGCGCTCTCCAGCAGAATAGCCAGCCTCCGGAAGTCCTCTGGACTTCGTCAGACCATCATCGGACCTCATCTGAAATGAAGGGCACATACTCAGGCAAGGGGCACAGCGTACGAGCTGAGGCCAAGCCCCTCTGAGTCAGTCTCTCTCTCCCTTGAGCAACATGGTTCTTAACATACAGCAAATTCATTCACAGTGCAGGAAGGATGGAAGAGTGGCTGGGAACCCCATTGCCACCAGTTGCCTTTGCCCACTCCATCGTCATTTTCTGAGGTTTGTAAAGATGGGCAAGATCAGGATTTGTACATATCTTGACAAGGGCATTGGTGATGATGTTGAGCATTCCTGAGTGGGTTGGTGCAGCATTAGTGAAAAGATGCTCTCTCATCTCCTTCAACATTGTCTTCATGGGCTCGATAGCCCAGTCCTCACCTAACAGCCCCTCCACCATAGAAAACCCTGCATTGGTACCAGGATAGTGCTGTTTCTCCACTGCTTCTTGCCAAATCTCCATCTCAATGGTATTTTTAAGCCACCTATGAAGCCACATCTCTGCCTCACTTGCCATGTCAGTGTTTGGAACTTTTTTCAATGTGTACAGCCCATCAAACATGAAGGCAAGTGTCAGGATGACATAATAGTAGCTCTCCAGATCATGGACTATCTCATGTTGAATGGCATCTGTACCTGGTCATTGAGTGAGCATCATCTGAATGGCCATCCAAGTGCAAGTGCCCTACACACACAACATAATTAGCATTGGAGTAAGAAGATGGTTGTCAATACAGACTGTCAACTCATAGATTCCACCCTTATCTGCAAATTGTTCCAGATCCTCATCCGTTGTTGGAGACCCATAGCCTGCAATGTTGACTTGGAGACTTTGCACCACATCTTTGGGCTTGATGTGGACCTTGCGCACATAGCGAGCAAGTTGCTTCAGTGGGTTATCAGCTGGTATATCTTGAGCTGAACTAGTAAGGGTGCATTTGCATAGGTGAGAAGAGACTGAATCAGAGGGCGGCTGACCACTGGCAGCAGTTAAAGGTGACTCCCCAGTAATAGTTTCAGTAGTACATTTGCATCCACCACCACCATGTCCCCTGCATTTAGGTCTACCTGTTCCCTGCCCTCCACGTGATGGCAGAGATGAATTAGGTGGTGGGGAGGAAGCATGTGGAACATCTGGCTGTGATGAGACCATGGAAGTAGATGCTGCATCAAAAAGTGGAACAGGAGGACATTTAGTATTGGGAGAGGGAGTGTGAGCTGGAATAGAGGGAGCATGTAGAACAGGAGGACATTGAGGGGGAGTATTGGGAGAGGGCATGTGAGCTGGAATAGAGAGAGCATATGGAATTGTTAAGAACCATGCTCAAAGGAGAGAGAGACTGACTTAGAGGGGCTTGGCCTCAGCTCGTACACTGTGCCCCTTGCCTGAGTATGTGCCCTTCATTTCAGAGGAAGTCTGATGATGGTCCAACAAAGTCTGGAGGACTTCCGGAGGCTGGCTACTCTGGTGGAGAGTGCTAGAGGACTTCTGGAGGAGTGCAGGAAATGTCTGGAGGAGTGTGGGAGAGTTCCGGAGAAATGCAGGAAGTGCTCAGGAGAGTTCCCACTGCAAGGTAGTACTTCTACAGGAAACAGGATGGAAGGATAGGATGTCCAGAGGTCTGGAGGACAGGAGGACAGGATATCCAGAGATATGGAGGACAGGAGGACTGAAGGTCCAGAGGACAGGATGTCTGAGGGTTAGGAGGACAGGATGTCCGAAGGTATGGAGGGTGGAACATCCAAAGGACAGGATGCCCAGAGGTGCACAGGACAGGAGGTCTGGAGGTCCAGAAGGAATAGGGGTTACATCAGACAGAGTCCAATGTAGAAGCAAACAGAGGTAGACTACCCTTAGGTAGAGTTGGAGAGACAGGAAGTGGACCAAAGTCCGGAGAGAGGATAAGTGCTGGAAAGGCAAGACTCCAGCCTAGGGAAGCAATCCCTAGACTTGGGACAGAGACACAGGGAACAAATCTGAAGGTCCAGAATTCCAGCCTAGGGAATCCATCCCTAGGCCTTACAGAAAAGGATGATACTCAGATGGACTGAAGTCTGGAAGGTGATTGGGCAGATCTAAGGTGATATTCAGACTGAAGACTCTACAGGAATTGTACAGGGGTTATATACTAGAGGATATCTGAGAGGATCAGTAAGCAACAGAGTAAGGCTATGTATGAGCATGTGGAAACACATTGGTAAGTAAGATGGAACATAAGTAAATGAACTTGGAGATGAAACTAGTACAAGGATCAATCAGCAAGATGGAAACAGAGATAACCAAGAACTGGAAAGGCGGAGATGCCTAAATGGGGATAGGCGCAGGATCTTGGATAGAGGGTGGGAATAGGTCCAGAGATAGTAACAGTTAATATCCGGAGGTCTGGAGATCTGGAGATCCAGAAAGCAGGGCAGAAACAGGACTGAGATATGCGAGGTGGTGGATGTAGTCCAGAATCCGAGAGGAGGTAAAGTCTGGATGTCTTGCTGGATGGAATGTGCATAGGGTGGACAGGATAGGGGATCCAGGAATGAGTCAGATATGGGGTCCGGAAATAGGTCCGGAAAGCGTGGAATATGATGGGATCTATGTCTGGCATACAGGATATGACAACCTGCCATTGTGCATTGTAAGTGCTAGTTGATATAAATGTGAACAGACAACATACCAGGATCAGCAAGTGATAGGTACAACACAAGCCTCAAGTATTCCTCCTTATCATCCATTATACAGTCGCTCAAAAAACTGTCCACATATTTTTGCATTTTTTACTATTTACAATATTGTGTGAGAATACATAAAGACCTCAGTGACATGCTAATACCATATTGTAGTGCTGCTTCAGGGCTTTGGATTGAGCACCACATTGTGAGGATCAGAGGAGATATGGTGGAGATACAAGGCTTACAAAATCATGACTCATGTGGACAGTTTTTTGAGCACATATTAAAACTATATAAATCATCATTTATGACACCATAACAATCATGCCACCATTAAATAAATTATAAAGTGGTGTCATTATGTCATTTTAAAATCATACCTAACTATACAAACCAAAAATTTCCATATGTCATGGTTATATTCACTATGAAAGCCACCCCCCCTGCTCAAAGGGATAATATCCTCTCTCTTTCCTATTCTGGCCTCTCTGCTTGTCAAATTTCCTCTAGAACTGGAGTATCCAAGTCCACTG